TTGGCAAGTGACTTCCATTATCATACTTCAGGATGATAGAGGAATAAAATGGAAAGGGACTAAGAGCTTTATTCTACAAGGCATTGCTCAGTAATGTAATTTTATCCCAGCACTTTGGGTGGCTGAGGTGGAAGATCACTTGAACTGAGGAGTTCAAGACAAGCCTGGGCAACATAGTCCCTGTCTCAACTAAAAATAAAAATTAAATTTCAGCTAGGCCTGGTGGCGTGTTCCTGCAGTCCCACAGCCTTGGGTAGCTAAGGCAGGAAGATCACTTGAGCCCAGAAGATCAAGGCTGCAGTGAGTTATGATAGCACCACTGCACTCCACCCTGGGCAACAGAGTGGGATCCTGTCTCTAAAAATAGGAACAATAACAAAAAGTAATCTGCCGCCCTCCCCACCGATATACTTTGCCCATACTTTACTGTCCAAAATCATGCTCATGGCCACTCCTACCTGCAAGGGAGCTAGAGATATTGAGCACTTTGTTTTCTAGTCTTAAGATAGAGAAAGGCAAGGAATGAAGGAGGTAGTTGAGGGGTCAGACGACCCCCATCAACGACTGCCACATTTGCTTTTCTTAACCTCATATCCATTTTCCTCATATGTTACCATTGTTCTCATATTTCTTTTAATGCATTTTCTAAAAAGGGAGAAAAAACCTTTCCCCCTGACCCAGATGCAAAATTATTTTCCTTTCTGCCATCATCCCTGACTTCTGATTCTGCATCACAAAAGCCAAAAAACAAATTCTTCTGTCACAGCAGCCCCCTCACAGGATGCAGAAAGAACATAATGGACCAGAGAAACCAGAATATTCTTAGCAGGTAGAAGGAAGTGAAAGTCTGGGAACACACAGACATTAATACTTTGCATGGCATTGTATCTGTTTTCCGAATTTCAGCTGCTGACAACTGCCAGCTCCAGACAACTATCACGTGGCTGGCCTTAGAGCTGGTGACACCACCTGTAGTTACATTGCATAATTTGCACTTACCCAGCACCACAATTCTAAACAGAAATTTAAAAATACACAACGCCTGGGGAGAAATGCCAAATGTGGGTGAAGGGGAGAAGAAAAGCAAAGCACACTGCCATGTGTGTACCTACCCAACTGTCTTGCATGCTCTGCTCATGTACCCCAAAACCTAAAATCCAATAACAAATTAAAAAAATAAAATAAAATAAAAATACACAACATATGTACATTTATATAATTTTTTCTCTCAAAATTTCTAACATCATTATGGTCACAAATGGCTGCCTGACCCCCATAAGCATCATATCTGTGTTTCATATAGGCTTTGTTGAATAGAGAAAGCTCTCCCCCTGTTCCTGGGAAGTGACACAAATTTATATATTACCAATCATTACATACTACTAACTACTTAGGGTGTGGTCTGCAGACATCTGAGCTAACTGACACCAAATTTCCAATTGACTGCAATGGCAATTCAGTGACCCTATAATCAGCTCTCTAGGTAGTTGCTTTCTATCACTCAAGGAGTAAAAGACTGTCCAAGAACAACAACAAAAATTCAGCATTCAGAGAGAAATGTAAGACAACCAGGGAAGAAAGATGGACCTTCGCTGTTGAGTCATCTCTGACTTGTGATGCACTTCCCAGACATCTCAGCCTTCCCTCAGTATTTCCCTCTTAGGAGCAGCCTCAATACTTAGGTACTAAGATGGATACTTCAGTGACACTGACCTGAAATATTCTGAGGTTAGCACTGCAAAAAGACTTCCTCTATTTTCAAAGATCATTGCATTACTTGTAATATAATGACCTAAAAGACATTTGGAAATTAGTTTAGAGGGTCAGAAGACCTTTAGAAAAGGTGATGCTCTATTTTATAAGTAAATATGTGTTGATCTTCCCATTATAAATCTTTACATCACTTGTCTTAGTGTTTCTTAGAATGGTTGTTCAACTGAATACCAGAACATATCAAAAAAGCATTCAACCTAAATAAATATTTTTAAATTATTTCTGTCAGTATTTTACATTTTCAGTCATACTTCATAAGCCTGATCACAACCTTTGAGTTCAAATAATAATTATTAATCAATTTAACATAATGCTTAACACTTATTAAATTTAGTAAACAATTGTTAATATTGCAAGGCAGATAACTTTGCTTTATAAACAGGAAAGAAGCCATGCTGGCCAGGTGCAGTGGCTCACACCTGTAATCCCAGCACTTTGGGAGGCCGAGGCGGGTGGATCACAAGGTCAGAAGATGGAGACCATCCTGGCCAACATGGTGAAACCCTGTCACTCCTTAAAAAAAAAAAAAATCAAAAAATTAGCTGGGCATGGGGGGCTTCTCAGGAGACTGAGGTAGGAGAATGACTTAACTGGGGAGGTGGAGGTTGCAGTGAGCCAAGATCAAACCACCGCACTCCAGCCTGGTGATAGAGTGAGGCTCCGTCAATCAATCAATCAATCAGTCAATCAATAAGCCATGCTATTGGAATCTATATATGTTCCTTCAAATCTGTACCTCAATTTATTGTTTTTATGCCTACAAACTTCAATTGCTACTAAAGCGCAGCTGCTTTCTGTATATACACCATGCCCTTCCTCCTTAAATCAATTGCAGCTTCTCTTGATTAACCAAGGGTAGAATGATGCACTATGTCAATAAATATTCTGAATCACAGAACAATGTAGTGGATGTGGCAGACAGCTGCTGAACATATTTAAACCTCATATGGCAGTTTAAAAAGGTATGTATCCTAAAGTGCATGTCAGTCTCTGGACAAAATTACAATGATGTAGTTTTCCTCACTTGAAATTTACATCTTAATGAAAGCACATTCGTGTATTAATAGGCAGATCTTTTCAGGCCACTACCAAGACTCATTGCTTTGCAATCTTACGTTGTTTTAGAGATCCTAGTCCACTACTTTAAAGTGGTGCACATAAATGTTAAGCCACCATAGTGTATTTTAAATAATAAGGAAGTATTTTCTCTTTAATAGAACTAGTTTCAACATTGATAAATCATTTTTAATTTATAGAGGGAAAAGTACTACCAGAGAGCTTTCTCTCAGTTTATATAGAGGTAAGACCATTCTTAGCCTCAAATTCAAACTACTGTCTTTCTAAATTCCAGTAGGATTGACTATAGTCTTAGTTCCACCATAAGATTGATTAGAACATTGAAAACAGGGAACTAACTGGTTTCTATTTCTTTAAAAAGGTAGCTGTAAAACCTTCAGCATATAGCTAGATGCCAAATATTCCCAACTATGGCCAAGTTGTCAATTACAATGTTGAGTGCCCCATGCAAAGAACAGCATACCTTTTTAAACTGCCATATGAGGTTTAAATATGTTCAGCAGCTGTCTGCCACATCCACTACATTGTTCTGTGATTCAGAATAGTTATTGACATAGTGCATCATTCTACCCTTGGTTAATCAAGATCCAAGATCAGTAAAAGCATGCAAGTTAATGTAGCTAGCACTTTTATGGCACTTTTTTTGTGCCAGGTATTATTATAAATGCCTTACATAAACTGACTCACTTAATCCCCACAAATAACCCTGTAGGGTAAGAACTCTTATTGTCCCTATGTTATAGATAAGGAAACCAGGTAACGAGAAGTTAAGTAACTCTGCTCAGGGTCAACAGCTATAAATTAGTAGTATGTCCTCAGAATCTATGATATTACATAATATGCTGACCTAAAGGCATATGTTTAACTATCAAGAAACTTAAAAATTCCACTGGAAAAAAAAAACCTTTTTAGCAAGGTAATACATTAGATTAAGGAAGAGTAAAGAGCTGCTAAAGGACACACTATATTAATAAGCAAAGCACTGTGATCAGAGAATATCCCAATTCTATCTGCATTAGAGACAAGGGATGCAAATAATGTCTTTGATTCATATTCTCTTTAATTAATAGGAGTCCTGGGCTGTGATAAAATGTTTCAAACATTGTATCTGAGAGTTCTGAAGTTGTATGAAAGACTGGGATTGATTGATAAATAACAGGTTCAGTTCTCCCTGTGTGAAGAGAATAGCCAGCACAGCTATTCAGCTATTCCAGGAGACCCATCTCTGAGTTTGACCTAACTGATTTGAGCAATTGTCTTGCTGTGCAGATAATGTCACAGGAATAGGAAGCTTCCAGAAGAGCAGCATGGCCTTGCTGACTATGCATTAGCCATGAGATAAATGCCTACAGATAAAATGACCGACTTGTCGGGTTTTGCCAGAGACTTTCTCAGGCTTAGCACTGGAAGTCCCACATTCCAGGAACCTCTCTTTCCTGGGAAAACTGAAACAGTTTGTCATCCAAGAGCCAGTGCTGTCTTGGCTGTGGGCAAAGCAGCTGGGGTTTGAGGCAAAGAACAGAGGCCTCGGAAAGACAGATTTATATCCCAATGCTGCCTCTGCCACTCACAATACAATCTGAGACAAGTCACTTAACCTCTCTGAGATCTCATTTTTGCTATCTGGAATATAAGTATAATTCCCCCCATTACTTTTACTGAAAAATAAATGAGAAACCATGAAAAGTTTCTGAAAAAGTGCCTGGCATAAAATAGCTGCCCAGCAAATAGTAGGTGTTTGTAGTATATTCCAGGAATTATAAAATCAAACCGTAACTATATAAGCAAGTCTGTCTAGACAGGGTTTTTAAACATTTTCTTGAAGTGGGAAGGGTGTGCATTTATGATAATGATTATTTCAGCTTTTAGAAAGTCAATTCATTTAATGGGATTTATTTATCAAAAGACCATGTTGACTCATGCCCAATGGTTGTAAGATCATGTTCTTTCGAAACTCCATTTATGAGTAAAATGCAAATAGTCTTTTCTAAAGTTTATATTTAAGAATGTATTCACATTTGAAAAAATTGAAAAAAATGGAAAAGTTTGAAAAAATGAAATGATCATTTTTATTTCAGTAAAATTTTAGGAAGACAAAGGTTTATGGAAACAAAATTACCCAAAATGTCCAATTACCTCAGTTAAACTATAAGGTTCTTAAACTAACGAAGGTTTTTATCTAACAAAGCTCTGGTTTATACTACATATGTTTAAAATTTTACTTAGAAGAGAATCAGTATATAATCTTATTCTTTAATATGGCCAGCTTGGATAGCTTTCCAAGAATAGATCTCTTAAATTCTATAATTTTTATTTTTGTATTGATTTTTAAAATTCATTTTCAACCAATTATTATTTTTGTAGTCTATGTTTTTCTCTAAACATCTACTAAAGTAAATACAATTGCTATACTTGAATTTTTAATTACATAAAAAGAAGGTATTTTAATTAATGAATTTCAAAATTCAATCTCTGATTATCTACCTTCTACTATAGAAAGGCTTTAATACACACTCCCAAGTACAGAGGGAAAAGTGATGCATTACACACTGGAATTTGTTTTACCTACATAGAAAATCTTTTGCTTGAGCACAACATTAAATAAGAATTTTTGAATCTTACTAAAAATTTTCATTCCTAAAATAATATTTCTACTATATTTTAGGAATCATTTTATATTTAAGCAATAAAATTTTTAGTTTATGACATGTACAGTTTAGGTTGAACAGTTAAAAGATTCTGAGAAGGAAACTTGAATTGCTCAGAGAAAGTGTAAAATCCCATGTCTTACTAAAATCAGGGGACTGTCTGTGATATGATAAAAATTTTCTGAATGCCATGCAAGTTGGATACTTCATTTAAAAACTCCCCACCCACATTGTTCTCTGAAGCATATCTCAAAGCCCCAACCAATCCTCCCATTCCTTAGCATAGAATACATGTTGGTTTCTTTTTTGTAACATGTGCTTTCTTTAAAGTCAAATGTATGACACTGAATCTTGAAACATTACAGGAAGGTTATTTAGATTCTTCTGGTTACTGCAACATAGCAAAAAAAAAAAAAATTAAAAATCCCCTCTCTCTACTGCTCCTGTTCCCTCTTAAATATCAGCTCTTTAAATAGAGATCCTGTTAATATTTTATGAAATAACAAACTGCCTTTTCCATTCATATTTCTTTATATTTCACATTGTGCCTTATTTTTTCTCTGCTCCCAGATTTCTGATGATTCTAGAATTCATGAGATGAGTCCAAGTAATACTAATGTAAGCATTTGCAGCCACTGAATGTATCACCTGGACTCATCTTTTGAGAATGTTTTTAATTTGGTGGAGAAGACTAAATAAAAATCTTTCTCTTTCTAATACATTGCACTTGTAAAGAAGTATATTAGATCTGTTTAAAAAATAAATATTTGCTAATTAAGTTTGTTGTCAATGTTATAAGCAAATTACTTTACAAATGGCTGGTCTGGAATTTCAGGAGCACTAAGAATTGCTGAAGTAACTTATTTGTTCAAATGTTTTTAAACTGTGCCGTATTACCACAGTGCAGTTCTATCCACAAACTGAACTAAACAAGAAACACAAATTCACCTGAACGCCAAAGAGAGCGCAGCATGAGTCTGTAGTTCAGTTTTGATCCACAGGAGAAAAACCAAAAATAATACAGATTGTTTCAACTATTCTCTATTCCCTAAATCTCAAGATTTCAAATTTTCACTAATATCAAATGCCACCCCACTGCTACCAAACAGAATCTGTTTATAGAAGGAAACAGGGCAAGTGGGTGGGTTTCTAAGAAATCATGTTTCAACAATTATTTTTATTCTCAAAGTTTAATTCTTTCCTGAATTACTGTTTAACTGGCAAAATGAACTAAAAGTCCATTAAAGATTATATACCTTTCTACTTCCTGGCCATGAAATCTGGCCTTAGAGTCTTAGAGGTAGATAATTATATTTTAGAGAACCTTGAAGCTGGTTTGTTGTAGTAAAAGAATTTACATATTTCTAGATGTTTAATTTCTGTCCACAACAAATTTAAAGTTTAAAAAGTAACTAATAGGAATGAGCATTGCTTTAATTGTTGAGTTAAAGAGTAAAGAAAAATGGGTCTTGCGTCATTAAAATAGAATAGAATCAAATGCTTCATTTTAGCTCTTCAGAAGGGTTGTATCATCAGTGTGCTCTTGAGCCTTTTTGCCGTTTATTGTAGATTCATGATTTCTAATACAATTAAATAAAGTACTTAAATTGCACAGTAAAATATTCTCATGCCACTGAAACTCCTTAGCTATGAATTCAATAGGTTTCTGTAATTCTTGTGAAATGTTTTACCTAATTTTTTATGTATATAAGTGTAAGCTGAAAGTTTCTTCATTTTTCCGCATGATCAATGGCCTATTTGACTGGCATTTTCTCGTTAAAAAAAAAAAAAATCCCCTAGGCTAGGTGCAGTGGCTCACACCTGTAATCCCAGGACTTTGGGAGACTAAAGTGGGTAGATCGCTTGAACCCAGAGTTCAAGACCAGACTGGGCAACATATGGAGACCTTGATTTAAAAATTAGCCAGGTGTGGTGCTGCACATCTGTAGTCTCAGCTACTCAGGAGGCTGAGGTGGGAGAATTATCTGAGACTGGGAGGTCAAGGCTGCAGTGAGGTATGATCATCAAAAATAAAAACAAATGTATCTGGTAAACTTGCAAATAGAAATGGCCTCATTGATTCTAGTTACTCTGCATACTTCATGAAAATTTAAAGTGATAATGAGCACAGCTTTTCATACTCCCTACTCTATAACTTCTTCCTTATTATCCATCTCTAAATTCTCCTGACTGTTATACAGTTCATCGAAAAATAAAACACTGAGTGAGCTAGCACTGAAATTGTAAGAACAGTGGCAATTACTGCATAACATCCAGCAGAAAAGCAGTATCTATCCTTCCTCACGGCTGGAAACCATAGAAGGGCTTAATACAATCACTCATTATGATTAACTCTCTACATTTTAACCACATAATTCTCAACATTAGGAAGAAGCTAACATGTTCCCTTGCCTAGAGACAAAGAATAAGATAGCCTAGAATTCAAAACTGCAATTGATAACAGACCATGGAGAAGACAGAACAGAAAATAACAAGCCCGGGAGTCTGTAGGTCTGATAGGCATGGGAGTGCCTGAGGTGCCGAAGAAACGTGGGGCATGTCACAGGCAAGAGATCAAGTCCTCTTGAGAGATGACTGCCTAGAGGGAAAATAAAAGAAATCAGAGTTTAATGCCATCCGATTAAACAAAAAAGCAGATTCAAAGAGAGCATGTGATTGGCAGAATAACGGCCCCTGCTAAAGGTGTCCTGAGAACCTGTCAATATGTTATACTACATGACAAAGGGAATTAGGGTTGCAGGTGGAATGAAGGTTGCTATTCAGCTGGCCTTTTTATAGAGAGACTTCCTGGATTGGCTGGATGGGCCTAGTGTCATCACAAAGGTTCTTAGAAGTGGAAGAGGGAAACAGAAGGGAGACCAAGGAAGAGAAGTGAAAAGGGACCAGGGCCAGAGAGAGTCTATGTTGCTGGCCTTGAAGATAAAGAAGGGAATCATAAGCCAAAGCATGTGGGCAGCCTCTGGAAGCTGGAAAAGTCAAGGGAATGGTTTATCTCCTAGAATCCCAAGAAAAATATACAGCCTGTCAACACCCTGATTTTAGACCAATGAGACCTGTGTCAGCCTTCTGACCTACAGAAGCGCAAAATAATAATAAATTTGTGTTGTTTTAAGCTACTAAGTGTGTGGCAATTTGAGTTGGCAGCAGTAGAAAGCTAGCATAGATAAGTGCTCAGGAACTGAGAACAAACAGAGAAGAACAAACAGGACATTTGATAAACATGGAAAGAATGAAAAAAATGAGCAAATAAAGAGATACAGGGAAGTCAGCAACCACATTTTGGGATGCATTAAAGAAAAGAAAGTCCTTAACAGCCACACAACATAATGACGACAAATGAGCTAGAGACTTACCTCAGCAGCCATCTGCCCTGAACTATCCCATTCTATTGAATGTTGACAAACCATGTCTAGTGAAGTATGAGCAATCATAAGAAAAAATTTTAATATTTAAATATTAATTTTTAAATAAATAAAAATCAGGTTTATTTCCCAATCCCCCAAGTTATGGTGGCAGTTAATCAAGACTGAGAAGATGGTTATACCTTCAAGCTGCTGACCTTTCATCAGGCAATTTATGCAACCTCACTCCAGTCTCTTCCTCCCACCATAAAAAACATCAGTACCAGTTACCCCACTGCATGATGCTCTTCCTGTCTCCTAGGTCTTCAAGTCTACTACTGCCTCCTTTGTCTACTGGTTAGCTCCTAAGTATCATTTATTTCACAGGTTTCCTCAAAGAAACCTTCATTTGGCTACTGATTGAGCTCAGTCCCTGTATTAGTCCGTTCTCACACTGCTATAAAGAAATACCTGAGACCAGATAATTCATAAAGGAAAGAAATCTAATAGGCTCCTGTTTCCACATGCTGTACAGGACGCGTAACTGATGACACCTCAGGGAGATTGTACTCATGGCAGAAGGCAAAAGCCAGAGCAGGCATCTTCCCATGGCCAGAGCGGGAGGAACAGAGAGAGGGAGGAGGAGCTACACACTTTTAAACAATCAGCTCTCATGAGAACTCACCCACTCTCACAAAAACAGCACCTGGGGGATGGTGTTAAACCATTAGAAACCACCCCCATGATCCAATCACCTTCCACCAGGCTCACCTCCAACACTGGAGATTACAATTCGACATGAGATTTGGCTGGTGACACAAATTGAAACTATATCAATCCCCTATTGCATATTTCTATCAATGCTTGTATACTCAACTTTAAGACATTTGTTTCACAACTGGAATTTGCCAGTATACCCTAAAGTGGGAATGCTGGTACAGCCCAACAGTACAGAGAAGCATCAAGACCATTTTGTATTCTTATCAATACAAACCCACTCTTGCAGGTTTAATTGGACGAAACCTGCTCCGCTGCGCTATCACAAATGCACCCAAAAGACAGGGATAATGTCTACCTTACTCAATATTAACTCCTCAGTTCTAGTGCTGTGTCTGACAGAAGATGAGTGTTCTGACAAACTTTCATGGAATTAAAAAATTGGAAGACCAAAACAATAAAATCTAGGTCTTTTCAAAAAATTCATTCTTGTATTCCAATTTTCATTTCTGTCATACAAATGAGTGTTTGGGGTTACCATGTGTATTCTCCTTAAAAGTTAAAATACTGGCTCTTATATATTTTTTCAGCAAAAAGATAAAAAAAATATTTTCTGACCTATGCTTTTAGCTTAAACTATAGATAAACTATAAATTATGTCATGTGCATATGCATATAAATATATACATACACTATGTCAGTCGAGGTCCTCCAAAGAGACAGAACCAATAGAATGGATGGATGCATGGATAAATGGATGGATGGATGGATGGATGGATGGATGGATGGATGGATGGATGGAGAGAAATAAAATATCATGAATTGGTTTACATGATTATGGAAGCTTGAGAAGTCCCACAATTTGCCATCTATCAGATAGACACTCAGGAAAACCAATGGTGTCGTTTCAGTCTGAGTCTGGAGGCCTGACAACAGGGAGCACCAATGGTGTAAGTTTGCACCAAAGTTCAAAAGGCTGAGAAGCAGAGGGACGATAGTATAAGTTACAGTTCAAGTTCAAAAGCCTGGGAATGAGGAACACAAAAGATGTAAGTCCCATTTTGAGAGCAGAAGACAGATGTCCCAATACTAACAGGCAAGCAGGAAAGGGATGAATCTTCCCTTCCTCCACTTTTTGTTCTATTCAGGCCCTCAACAGATGGAATGAGTTCACTCATATTGGAGAAAGCAATCTTCTTTACTCAGTCTACCTATTCAAATGCTAATCTCTTCCAGAAACACTCTCATAGACACACAGATATAACGTTTAACCAATGTTTAACCAAATAACATTATCTGGGCACCCCACGGTCTAGTCAATTTGACACATAAAAATAATCATCATACACAAATACATATGTGTTTTTGACATCTGCTGTTACTTTGTCCACTGAAGACTTGAACCACTCAAAGTCATCTGTAAGGTTTGGAATCAACTTTTTTTTTTTTTGTACTTTAGGTTCTGAGGTACATGTGTAGATCTTGCAGGATTGTTGCATATGTACATAAATGGCAAGGTGGTCTATTACCTTCATCCTCCTATCACCTATATCTGGTATTTCTTCCCACGTTATCCCTCCCCACTCCCTGCTGTCCCTACCCTAGCCCCACCATCTGACTGAAGTGTGTCATGCTCCCCTCCCTGTGTCCACGTGTTCTCATTGTTCGACATCTGCCTATGAGTGAGAATATGCAGTGTTTGGTTTTCAGTTCTTGTGTCAGTTTGCTGAGAATTATGGTTTCCAGATTCATCCATGTCCCTATGAAGGACACAAACTCATCGTTTTTTATGGCTGCATAGTATTCCATGGTGTATATGTGCCATATTTTCTTTATCCAATCTATCATTGATGGACATTTGGGTTGGTCCCAAGTCTTTGCTATTGTAAACAGTGCCACAATGAACATATGTGTGCATGTGTCTTTATAACAGAACAATTTCTAACTCTTTGGGTATATACCAGTAATGGGATTGCTGGGTCGAATGGTATTTCTATTTCTAGATCTTTGAGGAATCACGACACTGTCTTCCACAATGGTTGAACTAATTTACAGTCCCACCAACAGTGTAAAGGTGTTCCTATTTCTCCATATCCTCTCCAGCATCTGTCCTCTCCAGATTTTTTAATGATTGCCATTCTAACTGGTGTGAGATGGTATCTCAATGTGGTTTTGATTTGCTTTTATCTAATGACCAGTGATGATGAGCATTTTTTCATGTTTGTTGGCCTCATGTATGTCTTCTTTTGGAAAGTGTCTGTTCGTGTCCTTCATCCACTTTTGAATGGGTTTGTTTTTTTCTTGTAAATCTGTTTTAGTTCTTTGTAGATTATGGATATTAGCCTGTTGTCAGATGTGTAGATTGCAAAAATCTTTCCCATTCTGTTGGTTGCCGGTTTGCTTTAGTGATTGTTTCTTTTGCTGTACAGAAACTCTGGAGTTTAATTAGATCCCATTTGTCTATTTTGACTTTTGTTGCCATTGCTTTTGGTGTTTTAGCCATGAAGTCCTTGTCTATGCCTATGTCTTAAATGGCTTTGCCTAGGTTTTCTTCTAGGGTTTTTGTGGTGTTAGGTCTTATGTTTAGATGTTTAATCCATCTGGAGTTAATTTTAGTGTAGGGTGTCAGAAAGGGGTCCAGTTTCTGCTTTCTGCACATGGCTAGCCAGTTTTCCCAACACCACTTATTGAACAGGGAATCCTTTCCCCATTGCTTGTTTTTAACAGGTTTGTCAAAGATTGGGTAATTGTAGATGTGTGGTGTTGCTTTTGAGGCCTCTGTTCTGTTCCACTGGTCTATGTCTCTGTTTTGGTACCAGTACCATGCTGTTTTGATTACTGTGGCCTTGTAGCATAGTTTGAAGTCAGGCAGCATGATGCCTCCAGCTTTGTTCTTTTTGCTTAGGATTGTTTCGGCTATGCAGGCTCTCTTTTAATTCCATATGAAGTTTGAAGTGGTTTTTCCCAGTTCTGTGAAGAAGGTCATTGGTATCTTGATGGGGATAGCACTGAATCTATAAAATACTTTGGGCAGTATGGCCATTTTTACCATATTGATTCTTCCCAACCATAAGCACAGAATGTTTTCTCATCTGTTTGTGTCCTGTCTTTTATTTCCCTGAGCAGTGGTTTGTAGTTCTCCTTGAAGAGGTCCTTTACATCCTTTGTTAGTTGTATTCCTAGGTATTTTGTTCTCTTTGTAGCAATTACAAACAGGAGTTCGCTTTTGATTTGGCTGGCTGTCTGTTATTAGTGTATAGAAATGCTTGTGATTTCTGCACATTGATTTTTGTATCCTGAGACTTTGCTGAAGTTGCTTATCAGTTTCAGGAGATCTTGGGCTGAGACAATGGGGTCTTCTAAGTATACAATCATGTCATCTGCAAATAGAGACAATTTGACTTCCTCTTTTCCTAATCGAATACCCTTTATTTATTTTTCTTGCCTGATTGCTCTGGCTAGAACATCCAATACTTATTGAATAGGAGTAGTGAGAAAGTGCATCTTTGTCTTGTGCCAG